ATTTTGGGGGTCACACCTGTCAGTGCTCAGGACTTACTCCTGGCTCAGTGCTCAGGGATCGCCCCTGGTAGGTCAGGGGACCCACTGTATGGGGTGTCTGGGATCAAACCCAGGTCGGTAGCGTGCAAGGCAAGCACCTTGCTCGTTGGACTTTGGCCCTGGCCACAAAAGGAATCTGAACAGGTCAGCATAGAGTGAAGGGTTTAAACAGGGCCTCTAAGGCAGGGTGGGATGGTGGGGGGGCTGGGGGGTGGGGGGGTGGGAGGGATTACTGGGATCCGTGGTGGTGGGAAATGGGCACTGGTGGAGGGATGGGTACTCGAACAGTGTATAATTGAAACCCAAGCACAAACATTTGTAAGTCTACAACTGTACCTCATGGTGTCTCACTAATAAAAATTACAAAAAAAAAAAAAAAAAAGGAAAAGGTGATGGACTAAAGGCTATGCCAGTACAAAAAATAAATAAATAAAATAAACAAGGCCTCTAAAACCACATTTTGCTGTGTGTTTGGGCATCAGCCTTCTAGCTGGGAGATCTCAGGAGATCCTGAACGTCTTGCTTGGTCTCCTTTGTAGGAGGCATGTTGGGGATGGAATGCACACTTTATGGGGTTGTTGTGGGGATTAGGAAAGTTGCTGTTTGTAATGTGTCTAGAACAGTTCCTAGCTCACGACAGCTGTCCAACATGTAGAAGTTTTGGTCCCTGGCAATTTCTTTCCATTCCTATTTCTGTCTTGCCTTTGCTTATTCGTCAGCAGTTTCATGTCTTTCCTTCCCCCTCACCTCTCCTCCTCCGATCAAAAGTAGTCAGCCTCTCCTCCTATCGCCGTAGACTTTTGTTGACACCTTACTGTAGCACTAATTATAGTTAGTGGAATGATAGTTTGTGGCATGGTGAATGTGCAGGTTCCCCTAATCATACCTTCTCTCACAAGCCCTAATATTGCTATATACTGGGATTTATCTCATTCCCTGCAACTTGCTTTTAGCTAAGGAAATAAGTAAATCAGAAAGTGTTTGCACTTATAAGAAAGAAATGTTGTTAGGAATTGAGGTTTGTCCTCATCTACCAACCAAGCATCCATGATTAATTAGAGCTATAAATGTGACCAATTCAGAATTTTTTTACTGAAATAACAAAATAACAAGGCTGCATTTGGGAAATGAATATTACAAACAATTGTAGCAGTTTCCTGACTAATATTTAGCGACCCTAGGAATGTAATGTCTGTATTTAATATGCGTTGAGTAATTTGTTTATAAAATTAAACTTTCATATTTTAATTACTCTGACGATAGTACCTTTGAAGACCATTACAGTGAGCATGGTACCAGAAAATAGCCTCATGCTGTTTTGTGACTTCAATATAAAATGCACTTCCTTCTAGATGATAATATACAAGTTACTGTTTTTTTAAATAAAAATTACCTGTGCTCTTGTTTAAAATTTATTTATTTATTTTTTATTAGTGAATCACCATGAGGTACAGTTACAGACAGAAACTTTCATGCTTGTGTTTCAGTCATACAATGATCAAATATCCATCCCTCAACCAGTGCCCATTCTCCACCACCACTAATCCCAGTATCCCTCCCACCTCCCATCCCCCCGTCCCACCCTGCCTCTGTGACAGGGCATTCCCTTTTGCTCTCTCTCTCTCTCCTTTAGGGTGTTGTGGTTTGCAATACAGGTACTAAGTGTTCATCATGTTTGGTCTATAGTCTACTTTCATCACGCATCTCCCATCCCGGGTGGGCACTCCAAGCACCCTTTACTTGGTGCTCCCTTCTCTGTCTGAGCTGCCTTTTCCCCAGCATGTGAGGCCGGCGTCCAAGCCATGGAGCAATCCTCCTGGTGCTTATCTCTACTATCGCTGGGTATTAGTCTCCCATTCTGTTACTTAGTATTCCGCAAATGAGTGCAATCTTTCTATGTCTGTCCTTCTCTTTCTGACTCATTTCACTTAACATGATACTTTCCATGTTGATCACCTGTATGCAAATTTCATGACTTCATCTTTTCTAACAGCTGCATAGTATTCCATTGTGTAGATGTACCAAAGTTTCTTTAACCAGTCATCTATTCTCGAGCACTTGGATTTTTTCCATATTCTGGCTAGTGTAAATAGTGCTGTAATGAACATATAAGTGCAGATGTCATTTTTACTATACTTTTTTGCATCTCCTGGATATATTCCCAGAAGTGGTATTGCTGGGTCAAATGGGAGCTCAATTTCTAATAAAATATATTTGTTTTTAATTCAAGTTAGTTAATTAAACTAAATTTTAATATTTCAATTTTTAAAAACTAGATTGTATTTAACTTTATCTCTAAAATTGTTTTACTGGTGAATTTCTATTGTTTGACATGTTTTACATTTTAAATTTGTTGTTGACATTACCATGTGAGAGACACTGAGTACTGACATGTAAATTATGAGCACTATCAGAATTTTTAATAGTGGTCAATAGATTTTATTCAAACTATCAGTTTTCATGACTCTCTACTGACATTCTTTATGAATAATAAAAACATGTCTAATATCCAGTCCAGATGTTCATAAGAATATTGGGTTATAAGAGATAGAAAACTCTTTGGCATAAGATGGAACTGGGTTCAAATTATGGTCTTAACTCTTAAACTGTGTAACTTGGAGCTGGGTACGTATGCTCTGTAAATAAAGTTCAGGTTATCCAGCTATAACACAGGTCAGCAAATAGATCATTTGGGATCTGTAGAGACAGAGTAAACTGCTCTCTTTTGTTACACTCTGTCACTGTTAGAGAAGAGGATTTTTTTTTAAATAGTGATGCTGAGGGCCAGAGCAATAGCACAGCAGGTAGGGCTTGCACACCTGCATGCGGCCGACTCGGGTTCGATCCCCAGCATCCCATATTGTCCCCCAAGCACCACCAGGAGTAATTCCTGAGTGCAGAGCCAGGAGTAACCCCTGAGCATCGCCAGGTGTGACCCAAAAAGCAAAAGAAAAAAAAAAAGAAAAAGATAGTAGTGACTCTGAAAGATGCTTACTGTGACTATTCTTCACAAGCCAGACTTCCACTTTGATTCAAAACTAAGCAAGATTAAATCGTTGAAGATTCATATCTAGCAGTGTCATGTAATTTTACTAATTGTTACATTACCCTAAATTTCAGTTCCTGTTAGCATCAGTACTGTAATGAATACTCCTCTAATGCTCCGGTCTCCTAGTTCTCTGAACTCTGTATGATTGTTGGCCTTCCCTCAGCGATGCTTCCTTCTCTTGCTTCAGACTTCACACCCAGAATTGGCTGAATTTCTGTCCCTGAAAGTGCTCTTCCGCCTCCGAGTCTCCATCCTCCTATAGCAGTCTCTCACCCTGCCTACAGCTGCGTCCCCTTCATCTCTCTCACCTTTTCAGGACTTCAGATCCCTTGTCCCCTCGTCTTTGCTCTGTCCACCTGCACTTCCATTGTTCCTTGTTTCTCTTCCTCTACAGCTGAGATCCCAAGGTCCATTCTTTGAACTGATCTCTTATTTATATCCCAAACTTTATTCTCATGTTTGATACTCACGATCTACATGGTATACCTTTCACTTAAAATATTTCTTCTTTTGGGCTGGAGCGATAGCACAGTATGTAGGGCATTTGCCTTGCACGCGGCCAACCCAGGTTCGATTCCCAGCATCCCACATGGTCCCCTGAGCGCACCTCCAGGAACAACTCCTGAGTGCACAGCCAGGCATAACTCCTGTACATCACCAGGTGTGACCCAAAAATTAAAAAACAATAATAATAAGTTTTTAGGGGCTGGAATGATAGTACAGTGGGTAGGGCGTTTGCCTTGTACAAGGCTGACCCAGGTTCAATTCCCAGCATCCCATATGGTCCCCTAAGCACCGCCAGGAGTAATTCCTGAGTGCGTGAGCCAGGAGCAGCTATTGTGCATCATCAGGTGTGACCCAAAATATTTTTTTTTTCGAAAAAGAAAATTCTTCCTTTTTTTTTTTGGCTTTTTTGGGGGTGGGGGGTCATACGCAGAGATGCTCTGAGGTTATTCCTGCTCTACACTCTGGAGTTGTTCCTGGCAGTGCTTGGGGGACCATATGGGATGTTGGGGATTGAACTGGGTGGACCATATGCAAAATAAATGCCCTACCCACTGTACTATTGCTCTAACCCCAATATTTCACAGAACAGTTGTTAACTTCTCAAAACTTAAGGACTAAAGGAATTAATTTATATGCAAACTGTTTAGCTTGTTTTTAACTTCTACAGAGAAAGGTTATTTTTATTATTATTATTAATAATAATAATCTGGATGATTACCAAATTGTTTAACTCATTTGTAATATAGAGAGAAACAAAACAAGGGTGCCGTGTAATCCCATCAATGGCCAAGACCCAGACACTATAAAACCCAGCTCCTGGAAGCCCGCGGCTGCGTTTGCGGATGTGTGACATCTTATTATCTCATTCTTAGTTTGGACAACCTAGCAGGCTACCGAATGTAACCTGCCCACACGGCAGAGTCTGGCAAACTCCCCATGGTGTACCCAATATGCCAAACACCAGTAACAATGGTGGTCTCATTCTCCTAACCCTGAAAGAGCCTTGAATATGGCACTTTTTAAAATCTCAGGGCTAGGACGAAGGAGACGTTACTGGGGCCTGCTCGAGACAATCGACGAACAATAGGATGATCATGATCGTGATTATTATTTTTAAAAGTAATGTAGTAGAAGTTGTGTTAAAGGTAAAATTTAGACATGTCTGCACCTACACGGGTTCCTCAGACAGATTCATGCGATGGACATTTTAGGTCACCAGCCTGTTGGTGGTGAATTGGGGTACTCACCTCCCAGCAAGCACATTTATGAGTCTTTAAAAAATCGATGTTCTAATAGCACATTAATTAAAATTGTGTTAGAAAATGAATAAAACATATTTGTACCTGAAAGAAAGAAAGGATGGGTATTTGCATTTGGAGTAATGGAGTACCTCCTTCAATTTTAGAAACCTTCGAGAAGCAAGGGATAATGCGGTGGCTGAAAAGGACCGAGCAGTGTTGGCTGAGAAAGATGCTTTAGAGAAACACGATCAGCTCTTGGACAGGTGAGCATGCAGAATACACAAGTGCTCAAACTTCCACTTCAGTTACTGCTCCCTTTTTTCTTTTAAGAAATGATCTTTAATGAAAGCATGATTTTTTGTTTCAACTGAAGTATCATTTTTATGCATTATGTTGGCAATAGGTTATTTGTGTTTCTGTTTATTTATATCAAGATATAGAACACTTCCGTCATCCTGAGACCTTTCCTTCACCCCACTCTTTTTTTCATTATTTTTGTGGTTTCTCCTTCCCTTTTTTCTCTTTTTTGCTCTTGCAGTGACCAGGGTTTGCACACATTATGGTGCTTCCTGGCCTTGTGTCTTTTCCAGATGTGGTGCTTACGTACTCAGTTTCAGTGCTCGCCGGGGGTCATACACTTGACTGTGCTATTGATACACTTAGTTGTTTCACCCTTGAGATATGACTTGTGGTAATTGTACACCCTTTGTTAAGGAAGCACTGGGGAAGGGGGGCAGAGCAATAGTACAGGGAGTAGGGCATTTGCCTTATACATGCCAACCCAGGTTCGATTCTTGGCATCCCCTGAGTGCTGCCAGGAGTAATTCCTGAGTGCAGATCCAGGAGTAAGCCCTGAGCATCACCGAATGTGGCTCAAAAAAGGAAGAAAAAAAGGTGACACTGGAGGTCACAGGGGACAGAGCCAGAAAAATCACACTTGGAATGTAGGGTGATACTAGGGATTGAACTTGTGGTCTCAAGTCAGTGAGGCCGGTGCTGTACCACTGGGTCATGTCCCCAGACTCCCTTTTCTGAGTCTAAACCACTGCATCTCCAGAGACAACACTATAATTTTTACTCCCGTACTTAGTTTTACCCTTCCTAGGCCAAAATTAAATGAAATTCTACAGTATATACTCTTTTATGTCTAGCTTCTGCCCATTTTGTTGTTGTAATAATACTTTTCTATAGCTGAATGCAAATATATCATTTTTTTTATTCATCTGCCAATGGGCACTCACGTTGTTTTCATTTTGGAGCTATGATGAAGGAAACATCAATGACCTTTTCATGCAAGTCTTGTTCGGGGCGTATATTTTCATTTCTTTGGGATAATACCTAGGAGTAAAATTGCTAATCATAGGATAAGTGAATATTTTATTTTATTGTATTTCCCAGAGTGGCTAAAAAACATCTCCTGGGGGTATTGGAAGTATTCAGGGAAGGCATCGATAATGTTCTGCTTGCATGGGGATGGATAAACAGGGACTCAAACTTAGATTTGCAAACCCTGTATGAAGCATAATATAATGGTGCAGTCAAACTATAAAAGTGTATTGATTGCTCTTGACTTAGAAATTTTACTTTTACATTATTCCACAAATATTTTTTTCAGGTGCAAGAAAGTCTTTTTACAATTAGTAGGTTGTGCATTTTAGTAATCCTTCATATAAAACTTAATGTGTCCATGGTAAGATACAACAGTTTACACTAATTTTCTACTAAGGAAATATTTTTTCATCATTCTGTTAGCAATTTATTAATAACAAGCAGTATAAAATAAATTATTGTGGGGCTGCTATGGGGACAAGCTGAATGGTGGTTGGGTAAATTGGAAACAATGGTGAATGAAAGGTGAAAATGGTGGTGGGATTGGTGTTGAAATGTGAATGTTTATAACAGATCATCAGGAACAAGTTTGCAAACCACAGTTTATATAAAATGTGTGTGGGGGGGGAGAGTTTGCATAAGTACTCCTTACTTATTTCATGTAAACTCCAAAACATATTAGCATAGAATTTCTTTAAATTTTTATTCATATCAGGTAACTCATGGGATAATGGGATCCAAGTATTAGTTAAAATTTAATGCAATATACTTTAGATTCCAGCACTGACTTATCTATATGAAAATAAGCATTTTATTATCTGTGGTAAAGGATTTTGTTTTCCTTATTTACATAGGTTAAAATCATATAGCAACCATAAATTGGCTCTTACTGATTTATTTTCTGATCATTCTATTCTGATCAAAGTGTATCTCGCCTGCGTGGCAAAGCCTGGCAAGCTACCCGTGACGTATTCGATATGCCAAACACAGTAACATCAATTCTCACAATGGAGACGTTACTGGGCCCGCTCGAGCAAATCGATGAACAACGGGAGGACAGTGCTACAGTGCTACATTCTATTCTGTGTGCCATTTCTTAGCATTCTTTCTTATTGCTGGAGCGATAGCACAGTGGTAGGGCGTTTGCCTTGCACAGCACTGACCCGACCGACCCGGGTTCGATTCCTCTGCCCCTCTTGGAGAGCCCAGCAAGCTACCGAGAGTATCTCGCCTGCACGGCAAAGCCTGGCAAGCTACCCATGAGGTATCCGATATGCCAAACACAGTAACAACAAGTTTCAAAATGGAGACATTGCTGGGCCCACTCAAGCAAATTGATGAATAAAGGGAGGACAGTGACAATGACAGTGATTATTTTGTTGGAACAAATCATATAATGTAAGTTCGTTATGTGTCTTAAGGGGGCAGATTGGGGACGGAGGGAGAATGGGGACATTAGTGGAGGGAAGGTCACACTCATTGTATTGGAACAGTAAATGCCTGAAACAACCATATAGTGAACAACTTTGTAAATCACGGTGTTTTTTAATAAAAAATAATTTTTTAAAAAAATAGTAGATTGTAGTCACAAAAGATTGAAAGAATACCAATGTTTGTGGAAATTTAGGCCATAACGAAATAAATTTTAGACTGTGAATTTAACCATAGAATAAAACCTGTGGCTTTTTGTGTTGCCACCTGGAGCAGTAAACTGAACTTTAGCCACTGAGTCCTGCCCTAGCCAAACTGTAAACAGAGTAAATGACTGTTGTCGATGCCGCGCTGCTTTGGAGTGATCGCCCAGATAATGATAGGCAGCCGATACATAATTTAGAACATAGGACTGGGTGCTGTCATAACAACAACAACAATAGAAACCCCGAAGGCCTGTGAGGTATTGGTTTGGAGGGATGCATAGTGGATTGCTGAGTGACTTTTGAAACCAGGGAGGTTCCCAGATACACAAAGGACGTCAAAGCCCAAGGCTGCCATGAGAGCAGAAAAATAATGAAAAATGTTTGGGGAAATAGGGAAGAGCTAGCATCTTATATATGTATATCTCTAGCAATAAATAATGACAGCCCCTTGACCTTGACTGCAAAATGGAGGTTACCAAGTAGTAACAGGAAGGATTTGGGCGGGGGGTGGGTCGGTGAGCGGGTGGGCAAAACTAGAAGTGACACAGGGACAGATGTGGAGGATCTGGAGCACTTTGGTGATAGGGACAGTGCAAGAAGTATATCAAAACCATCAAGATTAACACTGGTATACTGCAGCACTGTCCTCCCATTGTTCATCAATTTGCTCAAGCGGGCACCAGTAACGTCTCCATCGTGAGACTTGTTATTACTGTGTTTGGCATATCGAATACACCACAGGGAATTTGTCAGGCTCTGCCATGTGGGCAGGATACTCTCAGTAGCCTGCTGGGCTCTCTGAGAGGGACGGAGGAATCGAACCCGGGTCAGGTCAGCGGCATGCAAGGCAAACACCCGACTGTTTGTGCTATCGCTCCAGCCCAATGTCAGGTTGACTAAATCACAACAAATTTAAACAGTAAGTAAGAAAGAGCATATCTATACTAAAGTCATGAAGTAGAATTGTGTCCTGACAAGAGGCAGTAGTCATCATATCTAGCTGGGTGAAAAAAGCAAGGTGAAAATGTATAGATATATCTTGCATGTATCTACATACATCTAACCAGATTTGCGTATGTACATCACAACAACAAATATATATATATATATATATATATATGCACCATCTTTTTTGCCCAAGCTATGCAGCATAAGCGCATATATAAGCTGTGCCTGTGTATTTGTGTGTATATATATTTGTCATTTTATATATGCATTAATATATAAAGCATGATACTTATTTGTATATAAATATATATATTGCATACTTTATATTTGCATATTTATGAATGCTTATATAACTAGGGGTGAGACATCAGAGATAGAACTTTCACAATTGGTTGTGTTCTTTAAATATTGAAACTTGTGACCTTCTTTAATGTTTTTAACTAAAGGCAAACAGTGATTTTACAAGTACTCATATATAAATTCCAAGTCTTAATTATTTAAACAAATCAGCGATTATATCCAAAGAAGTGAACAAGTAAATATCATATTGTTTATTATGGGGGAAGAAGTTGGTAGATTTTTCTAATTTTTAAGAGAAAATTAGTAAGTAAATTTAATACACATTTTGAAGCAATATTGTGTAAGTCATGGACAAGTTACTCTCTGTTTCCTGATGGGGTTGGAGTTTCGGCCACATCTGGCTTTACTCAGGGCTTATTCCTGTTTCTGTGCTCAGGGATAACTCCTGGCAGGACTCAGGGGACGTAGGCTGTGCCAGGGATTGAACATGGGTGGGCCGCATGCCAGGCAAGGGCCTATCTTCTAAACTATCTCTTTGGCCCAAGTTACTCAGTCTTTATGAAATAGGTCTTTTTGGGTTTTGTTTTTGTAAGGTAAGGATGATTCCAGTCTGTCATAGTTGTTTTCAGACTTAGATAAGCCGTTATAGGTGCATGAATGAGTTAGACCATGCACAATAAGGTGACATGGTTTTTTGTTTGTTAAGATTGCTATTACAGGAAGCAAATCCAACCAAGTGGTAGGATGATTTCTCTAAGAATAAAAATACTGCATTCATAGAAGCTGGGCTCTCCGGGAGGGGCAGAGGAATCAAAGCGAAACAAACCCGGCTCCTCCGGGCTGATAGCACAGCGGTAGGGCATTTGCCTTGCATGCAGCCATCCTGGCCAAGCCAGGTTTGATTCCTCTGCCCCTCTTGGAGAGCCCAGCAAGCTACCGAGAGTATCTCGCCCGCACGGCAGAGCCTGGCAAGCTACCCGTGACGTATTCGATATGCCAATGAGTCTTACAATGGAGATGTTACTGGGCCCGCTCGAGCAAATCGATGA